GGGAGGTGGCAGGCAACCACGGAGGCCTGCAGGCCGGAGCTCTGCCTGCTCCTACCGCTGTTCCCGGCCTGCCGAGGCAGGGCTCAGCTGTGAGCTCCGGGCGAGCATCACCCTGGCCCGGGGCCACTTTCCAGCTCCCCGTGAGGCGCCAGGCCCAAGCTGGGTGGCATGCCCTCAGTGTTGTGGTGACTCCGTGTCAGAAGCAGCCCGTTAGTAGAGGCACCAGATCCCTTATTTATTGCCCAAAGGGTTCAGAAACAGAGCTTGATAGGAATCATTCAGCTGCCTGCAGCCCCCTGGGCTTTGCTAGACGTTGTGGGGTTCTTCAGTAAGGCCTTGGTTTGGGTTGTTCACACATAAGAGTCAAGAGCATTCGCAGATTGTTTTGCTCTTGCCACCACCAAAGGCAGGCAGCTTTCTGCATGTCCAAGTGTTAAATGGTTCCTTGCCTTTTCCTGCCTGCAGCAGCACCTTCCCACCACTGTCATCATCCCTTCAGCTCTTAAAAGGTTTTGCTGACCATGACGCAGTTTTCTGAGGGAAGATGTATGGTGTGTTTGACAATTAATAAATGTATTAAGTCATCTTCTATTCTTGGGCCAAAAATCCCAGCTCATTACCTAGCAGCACTGTCACGAAGTTTGTGTCTCCCATAGAGCTCAGTTGAGAAGTTGCACAATTATCCCTGCAGAAATTGGCCTTGCCCTCCGAAAGGCTAATTCACATTTCTGACTGGCTTCTTGTGTCTGATATTTTTTCCACCTCTAATTGATAAAAGCCAAATGTATACTTTTTTACAGCATTTTTGAATGCTTGTATTTAAGAAGAGCTTTCGTTCCATGTTGGAATCGCACAGCTCTGAAAAATCTCAAAGGTGGGAAATGAACTGGACAAAAGAGAAGTTAAACCTCAAAATCATCCTTGAGCCTGGCCGGGGTCTGTGTTCGGGGCTTTGGAGGACTGAACCATCTGAAAGCCAGAAAAACTGTACTACCGTAACAATCTTCCTGTGCAGAAGAGCTTATTTTAGTGTTTTATTTTCATACTTTATCCACGCTAAATACATTTTGAATTACATCTTTAAACTTTGCACAAAGCGTTGAAGTTAGGAGACTTTATTCTTCACTAACAATCCACACGGACAGCAGGTTATACAATGCCAGCGCACGTTTTTATTACAGTGAAGACAGAAGTTAAGGAGTGACAATTCCTACGGTTCCGTGTATGCTTTAGCAGATCCAGTGAGCCAGCTGAGGATCAGAGGTTGCACACAGAGACCCAGGTAAAGGGGACAGAGGTGACAACGGCCCCTGCGGCCAGTGGGAGCGATCCAGCTGGTACTCCCCTCCCAGCCCCAGGTCAGAGCCGTACAGGCATCGCCCCGTCCCTGAGCACACCGGTCCATACGGAGCCCCGCCAAGTATCTACACACAGAAAAGTCACTGAAGATTGCAGGGAGAGGGGGTTAAATAGCTCGCTTGCAATACATTCAATTTTCACCAACAGCTGTTTTCTTTCAGCTTTACAATTACAAAAATAGTGACTGGCCAGAAACGGGCACTTCTGTCCTCCAGATTCATCCCCGTTTGATTCTTCCGCAGACTACTGCTCTTTGGGTTTCTTCAGAAATCCCCATGCGAGCCTGGTAAGGATACTGGAAGAGGACAGAAATTCTCTTTGCCAATGCTTCACCAGCTGAAGCAATCTCCTTTTCGTGCTTTTACTATGCTCAGACACTGTCAGGCCTCATAACAACATCACATACTTTTCAGAAGGGCATTCTGCTCCTGTGAAAGACTTTCTTTAAAAAAAAAATCTGCCATTCAAAATACTAAAATGTGACACTAGCTTGAGATTAATGGTATAAGCAAGAAAAATGAGACTGATTAAAACAAGGTATTTAAAAAAACCACCCACAACCCTTTTTCTCATTTAAAAAAGAAAAACTAGCTTTTACAATACTCCAAAGTTCAAGAGTACAAAAATATTTACCTTTTAGAAATACCCAAGCCTACAATCACATAAAATAAGTGTCAACTTATTATAAAAGTCTTTGTAAAAATATGGCCACCTATATTTAACCAAGTCCTCAAACCCATCCTATGCTGATATAAAGGTTTTGTTGAGAAATTTAGTTATGTCTAAATAGCTGTTCTATAGATTAACTTATTAAAAAGTAAAATGAAGATTAAATACTGCTGTTACTAGAGAAATTCCAGCTTGAGAAGGGATGAGAACATCAGGCATCACAGGATAGTGGCTGCCTCATGCCATGTTACATTTATGGCAAAAGCATAACTGCAGAAAATTAATATGAAAGTAAATAGTATTTCTGCATCCCAAAAAGCAGCTTGAAATAACTGCACTAGTTCCTTGCACTTAAATGTTATAAAGCTTTATTTTTGTGCTTGAACTTCCAGGGAGAGCCTCATTCCTGTGCCAAGCGCTAGCACAAGACAACTTGCTGTAACTCTCACATTAGAGAGGAGACTGTGCTTTTGTTGGCCCTTGCAGAAGGTGAATCATGTTATTTATAGAGGATAAAAATCAGTCTGCCAGGTCTGATAGACTTTATGTGGCCAAAAAGTGCATGCACAGCCAATAAATAGAAAAATAAAAGGTACTATACTTTTTTCAAACTATGTAGTGTTCACAAAACAGTAGTAGCACAACTCTAAGCTCTACATTTGTTTTCATCCATTCTAGCTTTGCTGAACTTTTAAAAAAACTTTTAAAAAAATGCATACATAACCTGTAGGGTTTGAAAAAGAAAACACTGGCTTTGTTGGGGGTTTTTTTTGTTTGTTATGAAAAAACTGTGGTCCCAAATTAGTCCTTTTGCATTTTTAATAACTGCAGGTCAACATCTCCAGTACAGAACACCGGATTTTTGCGAGCATCAAATCCCCTTTAAATTTTTAAATGGTACAAAGGTTTTTCAGAGCCTTTTGAAACCGCCATGAGCTTTCTCTGAAGGTACAGAACAATGTGGTACATATTCAGAGGAGAAACAAAATGCTTTGGGAAAAAAAACCCCAAAAGATCTAAAAAACTGCTTATGCCAATATACCATGAAAACCCTGAAAGCTGAAACTGCTTGGCACGTTTGGATAGGACCGTGGGCCACCAGAGGGTCAGCAAGCTCTAATCCTTACTCAGGGTAAAGGCTTCCCCCCCATCCCCAGAGACACTGAACATTCCCAAAGCCCAAGGATGTCAGCAGGCTCAGGCTCTGTGAAAAAGCATCAGCTTTTACAGGGACAAGTGGATCAGAAGTGGATCCCAGGTCCTGGGAAAAGCAAGCGACATCAAAAGATACTCTGCTGCATGTTTAAAACCCACATCCTTAAGGTGAGAGCTACGTCTGCTTTGCCACAACTAAATTCTGATCTCAGTCTGTCGGCTTTGGTCGCAGATTTCAAAGGAGGCCGGGATCTTTTCTTTAGGGGCGCGTGCTGAGATTTTCAAAGACAGACACTCAGCTCCCCTTCATCCGCTCACTCCGCACAGTGAGAAAAACCACCAGCATTACATTTGCTATGTTTTTTTTTTTTTCCCCTTAAGCAGCTTTCACTGAGGACCCGACTGACTGGAGTCATTGCTCTATTAGTCTTAAGGCTCACTTCTAGCTTAATCCTCAAACCGTGTTCAGCACAGACAGGTCCCCATTTCTCAACAGGGACAAACCCCAGGTATCAGACACTGAATTACAGACTGAGAGTCCTACGGGAGTAGACAGTGTCTGTTCAGTAAACTATGTATTTGGGTACAGTAGTGCAGGGGATAACAACTATGGTACAGTAGCATTGACTGTTGGGCTTTGTTTCTTTTCCTCTGGCAGAAAATGCATTTTGAGAAGATCGTGTTCTTCTTTCAGCCCCTCAGAGCGTGCGTCCTTCTTCACAAGGGTGTTACCAGAATTTTAGGACTCTCCTTTGAATTCCTAATGCCAGTGGATTTTTGCCCATTTCTGAAACTGAAAGCAAGTAGAAGACTGAGAAGCTAGACAACATTTTACAGGGTGTCATCAGACACTTCCCCCTCTTAATTAGCACCATTAAAATAACCACGTTACACTACTAATATAAACATTAGAAGAAAAAAAAAAATCAAGCGCAGCAAACACCACTTGGAACTTGAACGTAATTCAGTGACTGTAATTCAGTTACGTCAATCTGTTTATGCAATGAACTTGCAAAGGGAATCTGGTTGACTCTAGGATTTCTAGCTACAGTTCAGCTGCAGAGCCGAAGAGCTATACGTCAGTCATAGGAGAAATCCCTGTGATAAAGAACAGCGTGCCCTTCTCAAGGAACCTGGCCTGAGAATTCTTCTTATTCTGGAAGCATAATCACAGCTCCTTATACTGACCAGGGATCAGATAACAGGCTATTCCAGCTTTTTCAAGCTATCATTGCTTATAAGGGCAAATTCTGTTCCAGTACAAATGCTCAGCAAGCTGGATGGTAGCTATGGAGCTGCACTTTGGCTAATGCAGTTTCCCTCTGCTGCTCCCAAGAATTTTCCTCCCAGGATAGTAACTAGCAAACACTGGCCATGTCTGCTGCACTATAAAGTACGCACAGGGATTTCAGTGGAGATGTTTGCTCAGGGCACCCTAAATAGCAATGGGGGGGCGGGGGGCAAGAGAACTGTCACTGCTTATAGCTAAACAAACTAAACCAGGAGAAAAACTGTCCTGGCGTGTCTCTGGCCTCCCAAATTCAAGAGGCTAGAGTACTGAAATCCTGTGTTTAATTTGGAGTAGTACCTAATGAACTTACACCGAGACAGTATTTTGTAATGTAAATCATCATACTAAATGAATAGTTTAAATAAAGAGTTAAGGAGAGTGAATGATACAAGAGGATGGAAAGTGTTGGGAGATATGAAGCAACAGCCTCAAGGTGATGTGAAGGTCAGCCTTGATTTGTGAGTGCCCACTTTCAAGCACATCAGGTTCAGAGATTCTGGAGAAACTGCGTAATGTCAATGTCTATCAAATTAACAACCAAAAAAAAAAAAAAAAAATCTAAAGGGCACTTTGAAAGCTTTGATGTTTTGCAGTGGATCTGATGAAACATGTTTACTGATTGTGAAAAGGGACTATGTGGAAAGAGGTCCCGAATTCTCATGAAGCACGGGATGAATGACAGCCGCCTTACCATTTCACCTTCAGCATTTGGTCAAAGCTCTCAGGCAGGGGATTGCCGTAGCTCTCTGGGAGAAACAGGGTAAGGATCCCGATCAGCACAGTCAGGCTTCCCATCAGGATATATGGTAGGAATCTGTCGTAGGCACCTGGCAGAACACAGGATGCGACAACAGTACTTATGTGTCCACAATCAACAAACCCATGTGCAAAATTTATACTCCAGATAGTGCTGTAATGCTCAATTAATTTGGAATAATTAACTGAAATCATCATAAGCATCAAAGGTGAATCCAAAACCGAGTTACATCTGTTATCTGCCAGGAAACAAAGGGGTTTTTTAATTTTAAAACTACAATGTGCGTTCTGGGATGGTCAACACCTACCATCAATTTCCTGCCATCCCTCAGATTTCTGTAGCAGCTAATAGGTTTTTTGCACATTTTCAACTGGGATAGCCAACATCTTTGCAAGGGAACAGCTCTGCTGGGATCGCTGCTGGAGTCTTCAGTACTACGCTGCCATCAGGAACCAAATCCAGGCCAGTGACAGACTAACGGGCCGTTAACGGGGGAATCCTTATTGCAAAGGGAGAAAGCATCAGGCCTCCCACGACAGACAAGAGGCTCTGACCTTGGTCTACTCAGAATATTATTTTGGACTAGAAAGCAGCGGCCCCTGCCAGCAGCCTGAAGCTAGCGCACAAGTGTTTGGGGAGGATGCAAGACCTCCAAGTCACAATAGCACAGCTATGAAAAGGTCCTTCAGTAAAGGGATTAGCTAGGAGTTAAAGTTTTTACCGTAGAAAAGTACCAAACTGGACTTGACAGCTTTATTTTTTAGTTGGGATAGAGCAGTATGCTTTATAATGTATGGAATAAACTAGGATTAAAGGGAAGACCCCTGGGTATTTCACATAGAGCCGGAGTTTGTGATTTGATCTCTTCTGTGTTCAGGAGCTGGATGAACTGCGAGGTCCTAATTTAGCTGTAGCAAATAGCAGCAGCGACGAGTTTCTCCTAAAACCTCCTAAAGTTTAGGAAACTATTCTGATGGCTGGAACAAGATTTTTTTAAAGGCTGAGTATATTGAAACCGAGGAGGAAGAAAAACCCAATGGTAAAAACTTCATCCTGTCTACATCTCTCTATTACTGTTACCTGTTCTGTAACGGGGACTGAGCCTAAGAGGCATCACAGTCCTGCTCTCCCTTTTGCTTTACATTTGCATGCTACAAGCATGAAATAAAGACAATGTATTTTCATCATTTTCGGGATAGTGTGTTACAGTCACGCTGGAATGTGGGGGGTGAAACAACCCAGGTGAGCTACAGAGAGTAGTCTCCTCTCGCCTTTCCTGGCATGGTGAACCAGCATTAACCCCTGAGCAGTACACCAGCAGTGTTCTGAGAGGGGTCTGGTGATGCTAGAAGGAAATAAATCATGTGTGAGCGAAAAAAACAGGAGACTGAGCGGCCCAGATTGAGCATCTGGTATTCATAGATACTTCCACCCTTAATCCCCTAGTCTCTGCCACCCTTTCCTGCCTGCAACATAAGCATCATTTCCATGTACTTTTAAAAAAAAAATTAAAAAATTATCAGTTAATATTTGTGCAACACTCAGAATGTGATGATAATGACTGTCAAAAAAAGGCTATGAGGAAATCAGTAATTCTGCTTACAGATCAAGGTGTGAATAACAAGAAAAAGCAAAATGAGTGCTAAAGTGCCTGGCTTAGTAACTAAAAAAAAAAAAAAAAAAAAAAAAAAAATTACTTAATGAAGGTCACAATTAAACACACTCTTGTGCTGCTTAATCTGCATATTTCCCATGGATTGCTCTGGAAAGCACAGACTGAGGGGATGTTTGGCTTCCTGCCTGGTTCATCTGCTCCTGACATACCCATCTCGGGATGCACAGGAAGAGTACAACAATTTCCTACTGCTAGATTTCCTTACTTGCTAGGTCGCTTCTTGTCACGCTCTCCTAGGAAACTACCTGGTGTCCCGGGGGTAATACCCATTGCCAAGATGTGACCAAGGAGCTCCGCTTCATCTCTACACTGACCGAGGGTGACAGCAGGGACTTAAACAACAAATGAAGGGACTTAACGCTGAGCCTGCGCTCCGGAAGCTCCGATAACTTCTCTGGGCAGTTGCGTAGCACAAGGCAAGAAACAGAAGATGTCTCACCCAGGTAAACAAAGTAAGGAGCAATGATGCTGCCCAGCCTGGAAGCCGTGGAAGTAGCTCCGACTGCCATGTTTCGCACGAGCGTTGGGTATAGCTCCACATTGTAGACATAAAGCATTGAAAACGCAGCTGTGATGCCAAATTTTCCAAGCATCACCAGGCCAACAGACAGGACGTTAAAATCTGGGGGAGAAAAAAAAATAAAATCAAGGTGAATAACAACAACTCTGTGCTTATTACTTGTATTTCTTCTACATCCCAAAGATCACATCGCTGTTTTTTTCCTAGTGGTTGTGGTTTTGGGTTGGTTTTTTTAATTATGCAATGTACTAGCCCCATCTCTAGATGACTTGGCTCCGAACGTCCCCCCCTGAGCATAATGTAGGTACTCAGGTTATGTGGTACTTTTTAGATCTTGGTTCTCTCCCAGTAAAACAGCATTCTTGAAATGGAGCAAAATTCTGGATTACACAGCAAAAAAGCACAAGCTTAAATCCACCCCTTTTTCGCAAAAACCTGTGGATATTTACACACGGTGAAATCTGGAAGACTTGTGGGTTCTTTTAGCCTCTGCGCACAACCAGTTAAATCACAGTACACTTTCGGCTCTCCTTTTACAAGCTGGTTCCCCTGGACTATAAAAAGCTCAGTAATTTGACACAATAAATGAGCGCTGTGCATGACTCAGCATATGCATTTTAAAAAAATAAAATCACAGCTGCAAGTGATCAGCATAAGCTTGACCTCAAATTCTAAATTCATTTGTAGTTTCCAGTAATTTTACAGAACTATTAGATAGTACCACAAAACATTTCTAACATTTTTTATATGTAAGTCACATATTGAATCTTGTACCTGCAGGCACCAGCTGAATGAAGAGGACAACACCTCCCCCTAAAAAAAAGGTGCCAGATAAGGAGTAGCGCCGAGGGAGGGAGCGAAGGAGAAGCCAGGCAATCACGTATGCGGGAACTTCAATAACAGCCGAGAGGAAACAGTTGATGTAGGCATTTCCATGCCAGTTTGGAGTGCTGAGGGACAGGCCAAAGTAACCGACTGACGTGAAAAACCTGAGAAAAGCAGTAAAACCAAATGATTCCAGAAACACCAGTCTCTGAATGCCTCCAGTGTTGCCTCCGATGTTGTTACAAAAATAGGATGTCACAACGCATTGCCACAGGCATTGTGGCTTTAAAAAAAAAAAAAAAGAATCCCAGTGGCAACCCCATCTAATTCTGCCATCCCTTCCAGTGATCATATCCACAGCGGCTTGAAGAGACCTCTGATTTCTCTCTCTTTCCTGCATACCATATACCAAGTAAAAGGCTTTGTGGAACTCGTTCACAAAGGCTTTTCACTGCAATGGACTCGTTAACGGCACAATGAAATAACTCTCGAAAGCTTCCCATGCCAACTACGTTCCCACTTGTAGCCAACTCCAGCGGCAGGCTCTCCCACCCTCGGGAGTTCCGTTACATCTTATTTAATCTTCACGACAGAGTTGGATGTTCGGCTTTCAAATCTCAAAAGCGCCTTACTATGGCATGCCAAGTGTGCTACCCAGTTTCTTTCTGCTGGGGGAAATATGTACAGAAAAGGGTCCTGGTTTGTCTATATGGTATTATTGGGTCCTCATTCCTCGTGGCTGCCCAGGCAGGGACCAGGATCTCACTGAGATGGGCACTGTACCGAACAGGTTCTTGTTATATTACTGAGTTGCTGCCTCTGCTTCAAGAAGGACATTTCTCTTCAAACAGAGATTAGAGAGATGGGCGCGTCTTTAAAAAAAAAAAAAAAAAAAAAAAGCACAACAGAATTTAAAATACACAAGTTGTTACATATAATTTCCTAACTATTTTACATCTGAGTCGAGGCTACTGTCTCCACACTCCTGTGTATTAATGCAGTGCGGGTGCAAGGACACTGAGGGCCACGTACCGGCCAAGGACCGTGTGTAGGTGGGCTCCGAGGCTGAGACTTATTATCTAAACCTGTGGCACGTGCCCTCAAATCAGAAATCGTTCTATTGCCTGGGTACTTTAGGAATACACATTTCCTTACCACAAAAGTAATGACATAATAGTAATAGTTGCAATGTTTCGGGTTCGAAATAGGTCCAGAAGGATAGCCTTCTGCTGCTGCTGAGGCTTCGAATCCTGCATCTGAAGGAAAAAGGAAAACAAAACCAAAAAAATTCCCACACACCTAAGAGCAAAACAACCTCTGCACACCCACAAGTTCGGGCAGTTACGACGTTACAACTCTACCAGGGGATAACTAGCCAGCCCAAGGGCCACTTCTGCACCAGGGCGGGTGGTCCTTACGTAGAGCTTGTCTCTGCACCCAGCTGTACTCTGCGGTAGTTTCCAGGATTTTGTTCAAAAAAAGGTAGCACTGAGACACTGCACCATGCTGACTAATTAAAAAGGAGTCTCAGCTGACAAGACAGTCACATTAACACTTCCTTGAGGATTGAACACAGTACTTCCAGGAGTAAGCTCATTACCAAAGGCATTTTTCTGTGCACTGTCCACTCAACTCTCTTCTGTTCAACTTTCACAAACGGTGTGAAATAACTGCAGAAAACCGCCCGGTTTTGCTGCCTGCCTGCCGGCACCCTGCCGGGAAGGGGGATGGATGCCAGAGCTCAGCGTGCAGGCCAGGACACATCACGGGAGCATCCACCACCTCGGATCAGAGATGGAGGTTTCAAGTTCGAGCCTTGAAGCAGGAATCTTCTGGGTGGCATTAGGGTGCCCCTCTGCCTGCACGGAGAGCCCTCGCCGGTGCAAAGCCAGCGCTCGTGGCCAGGCTTCCCGCTCAAGCCCAAAGCGCAAACCACCCTGGCCCTCCTATGGGGCTACCCAGGAGATTTCCTTTCCTAGGAAGGGAGGATGGTTTCTGAGGAATGTCTTTCTAGCAATGTTTGAAAAATACCTCCAACAGAGGACTTAACGTGCAAACATCATCCTAAGGCTTTTATGGTCAGACGCTTTGGCGCACAAGATTCCCACAAAGTAAAGGGTAGCTGAGCTGCCGCTCCATCTCAAAAATACGCAGGAGTGATGAAAAGCAAACTCACATGCTGGAGCCTGAAAAACTCAGGTCCAATATGAAACTGGCTGCAAAGTAAGGAAAGTGCTTTTCTGTGGTTTCTGTAGGATGAGATTCCCGTAGCTGGAACATGCACTTCAATTTACACTAGGATATATGCTTGGAAAAGACATCTCCAGCAGCTCAGCCCAAATGTAAGCATGACGCTCAGGAGCTGGATCCTGCCCAGAGGAGGTGTAGCACGCAGCATCTCTCTCCTGCAGATACTGCAAAGGAGCACGCGGTGCTTGGCTTTCTGCTCTGCCAGGAGACATCAGGAGGGATAAAAAGCAGGTGCTGGTATAGCGCAGCAAAGTAAGATCTGACGTACAGACACGCGGTCATTGCTGACGCAAGGCTGGAAGCGTTGCTGGTTTCTTTGCACAAGGAAAATGTCTGTACCTCTTCAGCAGGAGCTCC